GGAACGCGGCGGAACCGCGTTCCGGCACCTTTTTCCGGGCCGGCCGCACCGGAAATAGCCCCTCCCACACCGGAAATAGCCCCTCCCAAATTTTACTTGCATTCCTGTTCTCTAAAGGGGCGGTCCTAGGGTTTGATGAGGGCGTGGCCAGGTTTGAGTTCCGCCACCTTTTCTCCGAGAAAAAAAGCCCTGGGTAGATATAAAGTGAATAGTTATTTTCCAAGCTGGCCTACAGCCTATTTGGACTTCAGGAACATTACACGTTTCCTAATTTCCTGAATTTTGTATCTGCCAATTGTATTTCATGCGCTGAGCGATGAAGCAGTAATACTCCAATTTCTCATTGGCTCACGAAGGCCTTCCTTGAATTGTGCAAACAGTTATCCCTGCACGCCTGCGATATGAAATCAAACTCACATATGTAGGTAACAATATTTCTCTCAAAAAGGTGCAAAAAAAAATATCGTTCTTGATGTATTTGGAAAGGTGTAATTTGTCCTATCAAAAAACACTCAGCTACCTCAGATAGCATAGTGAAAGCAATCAACAGACTCTGTGAAAGAATGGACAGGGTAAAAGCAGCATTAGATAAGGAAGAAGTGAAAGTGATAAGCAGAATCTGGGAAGGAATTCTGAATAAAAACAATGTTAGATAAGGAAGAAGTGAAAGTGATAGACTCCGGGAAGGAATTGACCAAATAAAAGCATTCAGTATTCTATCATTTTGTCCGCAGTTTTCAAGTTTACAGTACCTCTCAGCTGGAGAAAATGCTGTTAAATCTCAAATGAATATTGGATTATCCCTTGATTGTAATTATTTGGTTTCTTTCACAGTTTGGCTCTGGTGTTACCATCCTACAGCTTTTACTATATTAAAGCCAAGATTAATGAAACCTTAACTCAGGCAAAATGTAAGTAACTGCGAACTTCCCCCCTGTTGAATGTCATGTGTCTGAGTAATGAAACACTTAAAAGGACTTTCAGACATTGTGACTGTTACGGCCCATGTGAGAGTGATTCTGCCTTTTTTTTTTTTTAACACAACATTTTGAAAACTTGTGAAACTCACTAATGTTCTCATGATGTACCCCCCAGCTCTACAGCAATGATTCCAAGTCCTTGTGTAAATGTGCAAGACACAAAAAAAGTATTCTACCCAAGTAGAATCTGTTCTGTTGCCGTACTAGCTTTAGTAAATCTTGACCGTGTCCCGTCTCTCGGCTTATGTACCCACAGAATCATTGCTTTGCATATCCTCTGTTGTCTTTTGCAGAGTTTGATAGTAGCTCACCGTTGAGTTATGAAGTCTAGCTTTGTATGGTGCCCCTAATAGCTGCAGCCTGTGAAATACTCACTTCATGTTAGATGACTATGGAGATTCTCAGCCCAAATACCTAAACCAGTGATGGCAAACCTTCTAGAGACCAAGTGCCCAAACTGCAACCCAAAACCCACTTATGTATCACCGGGTGACGGGTGGGTGTGGCCACTCGGCGGGCGCAGCTATAGTGGGCTTGGCAGACTGGGTGGGCGTGGCCACTGGATGGGTGTGGCTGCAGTAGTCATGGCAGATTGGGTGGGCATGGCCGGGGTGGGCTTGGCCACCTCGATGTTGCTTATGGGGAGGGACACCTGTGGGAGCCGGGCAGGGTTGGGGGAGATCCAGGGGGTCTCTGGCAGGTGGGATGGTGGGCTCCCCAATGGTGGCTCCAGGCTGGCTGGCCTTAGGCCAGTGATGGCGAACTTTTAGAGACCACGTGTGCTGGGGTGATGGCGCGTGCCCACAGAGAGGGCTCCGCGTGCTGCCTCTGGCACACGTGTCATAGGTACGCCACCACTGACCTAAACAATCATCTCACTTTATGGAAGGCTTTCTATCCTTTTAACTAAAAGACCTTATTTCGCTGACAGGCAAGATAAATATAATATAGAAAGAATTCTTTCTTTTGGCACTCAGCTCTCGAAGCAGATTTTAGCTTAGAAAAGAAGCAGTCCCTGGATTGTGCAGCAAAGGAGAGCAGATGTCTGTGAAAATCTGAAATATACAATATGCCCAGCATCCTAGCTTAGCAAGCAAATGTTAGTTACTCTACTTTAGAGGCCGTCTTCAAACCTGGCCCAGGTTTAATCCTTTTCCCAGCTTTTATTTAACTCTCCTGAGTCTCTTTTGACATTTGCATCGTTCATTGTCAACACTGGGTTGGAAATCTGTCAGTCGCTGCCTAATTTCTATTATCTGTCTTTTTTTTTACATGACCGAGAACTAATTAATTGATCAAATTAAAGGTGATTCCCATAGAGTATAAAATGGCGAAGCAGATCTACAGAGATCTGTAGGCTTAAAGCGCTGAGCTGGGTTTTAATTAATTTAATTAATTGGATAATTAATACTTATTTTCGTTGTGAGTTACACAATGACAATAAAGATATTCTATTCTAATTGTGGGAAACTACCAGTTTGGAAATTTTAATTTCTTTGCTCACAGTGACTTACTGCTTTGAGGTTTTTCGGCAGTAGAATTTGGAACATCTGGAAACTTTGCTATCGTCCAGTCCAGGGGTAGGCAACCTTGGCTCTTTTATGACTCGTGGACTTCAACTCCCAGAATTCCTGAGCCAGCCATGCTGAAGGGAAAGGGAGAGG